GAGCGCTTCGCATGACCACGTCGAGAGCTTGTCTCGCACATGGTCGGAGATGGATACATTAGTGTGATTTGCCTTTATTATTAGCAAGAAAGACAGGTTATAAATAAATAATAAACTGGATGATTATCATCCATTAGACAATATGAACTTCTTGTGCAAAGAGCTTGAGTGAATGGTGGCCAGGGACCTATACATTTTCCTCAAAGAGGTATTTTATCAAGATCCATTTCAATATAATTTCAGGGCTTAATCTGAGACTGCAACTGTCTTGGCTTCCCTGATAAATATCTTGCTCCAGGACAGAGATGGAGTTTGTCCCAGTTGATTCTCTTGGATTTATAGTATCCTTTTTGGCTGCTTCCTGTGAGATTTGTACCAGAAGGGTGTGTAGGGGAATGACTGAACCCATAGCATTTGTGCCACCTTATCTCCTGTATTCTTCAACACCTACGTGAAGCCACTGGGTGAGGTTGTGTAGATATTCAGAGTGAAACGCAACCAATATGCTGATGATACTCAGCTCTACCTCTCCCCTTCATCTGATTCAGGTGAGGCCCTGGAAGTTCTGAACCATTGCCTGGAGACAGTTTTGGGATGGATTGGGGCTAATAAATGGATTGTTAGTCCAGCTAAAATGAGGTATCATAGAATCCCAGAGTTGGAAGGAGCCATACAGACCATCTAGTCCAACCCCCTGCCCAATGCAGGACCAGCCTAAAGCATCTCTGGTAAATATCCAGCCTCTTCTTGAAAGCTGCCAGTGAAGGGGCGCTTACCACCTCCCTAGGCAGCTGATTCCACCTTTGAACCACTCTGACTGTGAAAATGTTTTTCCTAATATCCAGATGATACCTTTCTGCATGTAATTTAAAGCTGTGGCTCTGGGTCCTATCCTCTGCTGCCAACTAGAACAGCTCCTTGCCCTCCTCCAAATTACATTTTTTCAAATATTTAAAGAGAGCAATCATGTCCCCCCTCAATCTCCAAACTAAACATTCCCAAGGCCCTTAGCCTTTCCTCATAGGGCTCAGTCTCCAGACCTCTGATCATCCTTGCCATTCTCTTCTGCACCCTCTTGATTTTGCCCACATCCTTTTTGAAGTGAGGCCTCCAGAACTGCACACAGTACTCAAGGTGCGGCCTGACTAAGGCAGTATACAGAGGGGCTAGGACCTCCTGTGATTTTGATGCTATAGCCCTTTTAATACAACCCAAGGAAGCTGCGGTGGCTCAAGTGGTTAAGACGCTGAACTGCAGGCTGTGGAAGGTCGGTAGTTCAGCAGTTCGAGACCCGGGTGCCGCATGATGGAATGAGCTCCCATCTCTAGTTCCAGCTCTTGCCAATCTAGCAGTTCGAAAGCAAGAAATTGCAAGTAGATAAATAGGTACCACTTCAGTGGGAAGGTAACAGCGTTCCGTGTGCCTTGGTGTTTAGTCATGCCGGCCACATGACCACGGAAACGTCTTCGGGCAGCGCTGGCTCTTCGGCTTTGAAACGGAGATGAGCACCGCAACCCTAGAGTCGGATTCGACTGGCTTTCGAGCAAGGGAACCTTTACCTTTTAAGGCTGAATTAGCCTTTTTGCCACCGCATCACACTGACTGCTCATATTTAGTTTACAGTCCACTCTTACCCCAAGATCTCTTTTGCATACTGCTCCCTAGAAACGTATCCCCCATCCAGTATTTGTGCTAGACATTTTTGTGGCCCAAATGTAATACTGTGCATTTATCTTTGTTTAATTGCATCCTGTTTGCAACTGCCCACTTATCCAGAGTATTCAGGTCTTGTTGAATTTTAACTCTATCTTCTTGGGTGTTTGCTACTCCTCCCAATTTGGTATCATCAGCAAATTTAATGAGTAGCCCTTCTACCCCTTCATCCATATCACTGATAAAAATATTGAAAAGTACCAGGCCCCAAACCGAGCCCTGCGGCACCCCACTGGACACCTCCCTCCAATCTGATAATAATGGGGTGATAATAATGGGGTCAGTAATATGGCCAGTCAGGAACTGAGGAGTCAACCTTTTCTGAAAAGTGTTGCATTCCTATTGAAGAAGTTGGTTTGCAGCTTGGGAGTACCACTAGAACCAAAGCTACAAGTGGAGGTGCAGGCCCCCCCTCTATGGTACACAGCACTTTTGACCAGCTCCGGTTGGCATAGTGGCTGTGGCCCTCTCTGGAGAGGCAAAATTGGCTGGGAAGAACCATGCTCCTTGGAGAAAGAGCATGATAAAAGAGCATGCTCCAATAACATCCAGATTACTGTAATGCGTTCTTATGGGGCTGCCTTTGAAGAAGGTTAAAAGCTTCAGCTGGTGGAGAATGTGGCGATCAACTGGTATGTCCTATAGAGACCACATTTCCATGGGTGTTGAAACAAGTTTCTGGCTACTAATACACTTCTAGGTACAATTCAAAATTGTGGTTATTCACAAGAGAGAGCCTGTGTGGTGCAGTGCATGGAGTAGCGGATTAAGACCCTGGGCGAGCTAGGTTTGAATCCTCACTTCTACCATGGAAATCTGATGGGTGACCTTGGACCCATCACAAACTCGTCTTGGCCTACCTCACAGGGTTGTTGTGAGAAAGTGGAGGAGGGGAGAACAATGTTCAAAAAGCCTCTGAGTCCCAATTGAGGATAAAAGTGGCATATAAATAAACACATGCAACAAAATGCATAAAAATGCACTTCAGACCCCTAAATTAAAGGTACACCTGAACGACTGAATGCTCCCAATATGCATCAATTAAGATAATGTTCCAAGCCCCTCTCCCTTCTCTCAATTCACTACTTCTATTCTCATCTCTGGTGCCCCAGATGTGGAGCCCCCTTCTCTCAGCCATTTGCCTCAGTCTTCTAATTTCCAGCACTAGGTGAAAACATGGTAGAGAAACAAAGGCTGTGGTCACACGGAGCATTAGCCACGCTACAGAGACGGAAGATAGGCGGATTTTCCGGGTGCGATCAAACCGCAACATCTGGGAAGCGTAGAGCTCCCGTGGCTAACCCGAGGCTTCCCGCGGAAGATGCGCCGTAAAAAACTAGTACCTCCGAGGTACTAGTTTCCGGAAACCGCGGGGCAAGGGCGGGCGTCTGATCACATTTCCGGTGGTAGCTTGTGGCATCCGGCGCCCGCCCATGTCCCGTCACGAAAAGGGGTTTTTTTTTCCCAAGTCTCCACTGGATGCGCACAAGCACCCAACGGCGCATGCACACACTTCAGTTAAAAAACCCCCACAACCCCTGCCACGCCGCTTCTTTGCCGCACCGCAGAACTGACGTATGATCGGCACCTCATAGCAAACCACGGGACGTCGGCGGAACGTTTGATCCAGCAGCCGCACGGTAGTTAGCTCCAGGGCAAACAGCCACGCATCCCCCCCCCCCCCGCAATATCCGGTCCTTGTGACCAGGGCCAAAGAACAGCCAAGCTGTTAAAACCTGGACCCATTATGTTGAGACAGAAGTAACTCCCATGATGATCAGTGGTCGTTATTTACAAGTAAAGTGGCATCGGATGCCCCCCAGGGCCCAATACTTTGCATATAGATAAGCATGCAATCATCTTTTTGTCATATTCTCTATATTCAAACGTTTTATTGCCTTAGCACTATACTGCCTATTTGTTTTCTGAATACTGAGGACCAGTTCCAAGCTAGTGTATTGTCTCCATGGAACCTGAGGAGAAAAATTTAGTCTGAATGTGAAAACAACTAGTGAGGCACATTTTACTATGGCATAAACTCTCCTGAGCCAGAGCCCTCTTTCTATGTAAAAAAACCCCATGTTGCTTTTGTTAGAGATTGCCATATTCTTACCCACTCACCTGTCCTGTAAAATCACATCTATTTTGCATGCCTGTATAATATGAGCTGCGCTCAAGTGGTTAAGATGCTGAACTGCAGGCTGTGGAAGGTCAGTAGTTCAGCAGTTCGAGACCCGGGTGCCGCAAGACGGGGTGAGCTCCTGTCTCTAGTTCCAGCTCCTGCCAACCTAGCAGTTCAAAAGCAAGAAATTGCAAGTAGATAAATAGGTACCACTTTGGTGGGAAGGTAACAGCGTTCCGTGCGCCTTGGTGTTTAGTCATGCTGGCCACATGACCACGGAAATGTCTTCGGACAGCGCTGGCTCTTCGGCTTTGAAACAGAGATGAGCACCGCAACCCTAGAGTCGGATTCGACTGGCTTTCGAGCAAGGGAAACCTTTACCTTTTATAATATGGCAATGGTTTGTGTGCATGTATTTACTATGCAGGTGTTCTTCCACAAAAGTACTTCTATGGTGAGGGAGGGGAGAATCTTGAAGTCTAGAATTATTTTCCTGAGTTTGATTAGTTTGCATGCCTCCTCTTCAGTACCAGGCTGCTTTCAGCTACTCCCACATTTTATTTTGGAAGAAGGAAACTGATCCCTGTCAGGAAGTAGCTATCCAGATCGACAAAAATAAGAGAGTTTAAGGAAAGCTTCATTCCTCTGCAAGCGCAACAGGGAGTGCGTGTTTTCCTGTCAGAAACACTCATTGTACAGGCCTGTTATTTTCCACTTCGTTGGGGCGGGGGAAAGTTCAGGAAAGCAGGATAATAAATAGATACGATAAATATTCATGAGACTGCTGATGTCATGAGAAAACGGTGCTCGGCCGGGCGGTCTCCCCAAAGCGCCATTTCCTGGAAGAGAAGGAAGAAGGAAGGCCGAAGCGATGAAGAACTGCACAAGGAAGTCGTGGCGCCGACGACAGAGAGAGGGTGCTCTGAGCCCGGGAAAGCCAAAACGCGGCTTGATCGCTGCGTGAACTCTGGTGTGCCGCGGAAGGCCAGCAGGGGGGGGGGGAGAGAGAGAGACACCTGCCCAGCTCTCGCTGCCTCGGCGGTACTGGATTACAAGCGCTGGGCAGAGAGAGAAGGGACAGCCCAGCGTTTGGTGTGGTTCCTGAATCTTCCACAGCAGGCTGCTTTCCTTGCCGTTCGCCTACGTGCTTGTGCAGAGGGCTGTAGCAGCGAGCGCTGCGGTATCTGGGGGAAGACCCTTGGCTGAGCGCCGCTTTGGGTCCCCCCTCCCCTTCTTCGTTTTGCCATCCGCCCCTTCTTCTTCCTTCCCCCTCCTCTTCCTTTTTTGGGGGGTGTATTTTGTTGTAAAGCGAGGAGAGGCAACCGGTTTGGAGGTGTCGGGGAGGATGGTGAAGATGATGATGTGGAAGAGATGGAGATGAAGCAGAATATGCGGATCCGGGGACTCCTGTTGCTGCTGCCACCACTATGGGCTGTGCTTCTCCGGGACATCGCGGCTGTAACAGGTAAGGCTGCTCCGCGTCAGAGTCCTGTAGAGCTGGAGCGGAGAAAGAAATGTTCCGTCTGCTCTGGCCGGCAAGCTGACCGATTGAATCCACCCCCTCCCTTTTGACTGTGTTCCTTCTGCTGCCCAAGTTTGTCCCCAAGGAGGCTCTCACAGTTTACTGTCCCTACCTGGCTGTTACTCTGCCCTGTTTTTCTGATGTTGATTTGTACCTTGGTCGAAAATATCATGGTGATTTCCTAAAAGTATCCCCCGCACCCCCAACCGATGCCTACCCCTGCCCTTTCCAAAGGTTTGCTATTTCTTTGGTAATAGAACTCCTGTTGACAATGTACTTTGGAAGGGACTCCAGAGGGAAGTGAGAGGAGGGACACTCTGTCATCAAATGTCCAGTAGTCACATTTCCCCCCCCCCCTTTCACAGTTTGTGGTCGGAACAGGCCTAATTTATTTTTCCTATTCGCTACTCAGTGCTGAAACAAGTTGCAAAACTTAATTAGGGTACATAAACTTCATTTCATTTTTTGAAAAAAAAACTGGATTTTATTTAAAGAGCAGCTTTAATGCATATGTTTAGTCTTTCAGAGAACAGTTTGTATCTGGATCTGGGCACCACCCTCTCTTGTTTTTCCACAATGGTGTAGGAAAACAGTTCTTCTAAACAAAATGAACATAGCCACGATTTAACTGCTATTGTGACATGACAGTCTTCACCTGCAACCTGGACAGACTGTTGTGTGTCTATATATAAGTCTTTGAATGTCTCTAAGTTCTTTCTAAGCACCTCTGTAGATGGCCTCATTACATTTTTAGAGGTCCTAAATGGAGATATAAGGAGCTGCGGTGGCTCAAGTGGTTAAGACGCTGAACTGTAGGCTGTGGAAGGTCGGTAGTTCAGCAGTTCGAGACCCAAGTGTGCCGCATGACAGAGTGAGCTCCCGTCTCTAGTTCCAGCTCCTGCCAACCTAGCAGTTCGAAAGCAAGAAATTGCAAGTAGATAAATAAGTACCACTTTGGTGGGAAGGTAACAGCGTTCCATGCGCCTTGGTGTTTAGTCATGCCGGCCACATGACCACGGAAACGTCTTCGGGCAGCGCTGGCTCTTCGGCTTTGAAACAGAGATGAGCACCGCAACCCTAGAGTCGGATACGACTGGCTTTCGAGCAAGGGAACCTTTACCTTTAAATGGAGATATATTAGTCACTGGCTAGAAGTGGACTTGTGTGTGTTACAATTGGGGGGAAATGACAAGATCTATGACTGGACAAACATCACCTATGTGACTTTGGAAAACTACCTTATTTTCCAGCCTTTCGAATACACCTGGCTTTTGCAAAAATAAAACCATTCAAATTTTATTTCAGTGGTTGCTTTTAAAAATATGCTATTTGGCCATATTGATTTTCGAGCCAGCACTGATGTTTCCTTACTTGAATATTACCCCTTAGTCTTTATGTGTATGAAGGGTCTGTGACCCCAGACATTCAACAGCAGTGCCAAGACTGCTGCAAAGGGAACTTTTCAAAATTATGATTAAAAATACTTCTGATACAAAAACTTCTAAAGCACAAGGGGTTCATTTAACCCCATACGTTCAATGAATAGTTTTGGAATAAAACAATGCTCCCTGTTATGATCATAAATGAGTAACAGTCAGCCGTTGAATCTGTACAGTGAATTTGCAGAACTGTTTGGAAATAGTATTTTTATCCAGTTCTATTTAGTGTATTAATAGTTAAGGTAGTTTTGTATTTCTGATTTCACCCCTGAATGGATAGAGTAGATTCAACTTTTCCAGTGGAAGCTCAAAAGGCTCTGAGAATGTAAGTCTGGATCCTTCTGTCAAATGTATCTGGCCCAAGTAAAGCATTACTAAACGCAGTTGAATACTTTGTGGAATACTGTTACAAGATACAGCTTGTCAGGAACCTGGCAGATGATCAGCAGCTCACCTCTATGTGAAGTGGATGGTAGTGGCCAGGCCAGGTTATTTGGCTTAAAGCCAGCTCATGATTCAAAGACAAAACCTGTTGTCAACAGTTCCTGGATTATATTATTTAGGAATGGTCCATCCTTGGCACTACACTAGTCCATTCTGCCACTATAACCCCAAAGCAGTTGTTGCTGTTCCTGCATAGTGTCTAGGAAAGCTACAGGTGTTGTTGCCAGGTCAGGGAGTTTTTGGTGGTGTTCCCTGGGTTGGATGGCAGCATAGTTGTGAGGCTGAAGCTGAAGTCAGTGCTGAGTGAAAACAGTCTATAACAGACATGAATGGATGGGAGGGGGAACAGAAGCAAGGATGAAAGGAGAAATACAGTCATGACTCATTGGCACTAGATTGATAATTCCCATTGCAGTGTCCAAGAAGTAGGATTCACAGCTCATCAGGGTCTGTCTGAAGACATATGAAAAGGTATAAAAGTTAACCTATTTCCCAGATGTTCCGTGCTGCACAGGATTTGATCCAAACATTCCAGCAGCCACGTGAAATCTACTGGAAATGCTTCTGCAGTGATTATGTAGATGCTGTCATGTGTGACAGTTGCTTACATGTGGTTTGCCCCATTTCTTGGAGACCCTTAACACTTCTTACAGGTGTGCTATATGCCCTCTCTTAGGACTGTCCCATCTGGCAACTGTCAGGTTGTAGGGTTTTTTTTCTGTGATAGATCCTTTGGAATGACTCACTAGACAAGGGGCAGAAGACACCTTCATTTCTGCATTCAGGAAGGTGTGCGGAACAGTTTTATTTCAGGGGGCATTTGGAAGAGTGTGAACCATTTGGGGCAGGTCTGGCTTGTATGTTGTTTTTGTCTGGTATGTTGATTTTTATCTTGTTGATGGACTGTTATTTTATTTTTATGTTTCACAAGTTGCAGTTACTTTGCTAGTTGCCTTGAGTCTAAGGAGACAAGGTGGGATATAATATTAAAGGTAAAGGTAAAGGTTCCCTTGCTCGAAAGCCAGTCGAGTCCGACTCTAAGGTTGCGGTGCTCATCTCCGTTTCAAAGCCAAAGAGCCAGCGCTGTCCGAAGACGTTTCCGTGGTCATGTGGCCGGCATGACTAAACACCAAGGCGCACGGAACGCTGTTACCTTCCCACCGAAGTGGTACCTATTTATCTACTTGCAATTTCTTGCTTTCGAACTGCTAGGTTGGCAGGAGCTGGAACTAGAGACGGGAGCTCACGCCATCATGCGGCAACTCGGGTCTTAAACTGCTGAACTACTGTCCTTCCGCAGCCTGCAGTTCAGCGTCTTAACCACCGCAGCTCCGGGATATAATATTACAAATAAATAAAATAAGTCCATGATTCTCATATTCCATGGCCATGGCATGGATTCAACAACCTTTAATGTAAACTTCAAATTCAGAGGATCTGGGTTCTGTTCTTGCATGTTTAGAATCTGACAGAAGATACTTTGAGGGACTGAGGCAGTGGTTTAAGATCATGGGCTATGACCTTCAAGTGGGCCATGGAGTACCATCTGCTGGGTCACAACAAGCCCCTACAGAACCATCATTTCTTACTGCTTCTTGTTAGGAACTCCTTCTGGAGCCTATGGGTACAGACTAAATGTCCCATGTCTCCTGTCTTTCTGCATGTGTGCTGAGAGGATCAACAGGATGACAAAGCAAGGTCCCTCAGTGGTGGAGAGCATTCCTTTTTGGCACAGCTAAGTTCAGAGACATCTCCCAGCTGCTCCAAAAAGTTCCCTTTACTTTCTCTTTCTTCACCTGGTCTGGTTGGCTACCCCTACCTGTTGTTCTTCCAATGTTACAATGCTTGTGGTGCCCTTTTTCTTACCAGTGAGATTCTAACTCAGCCTCCTCCTCTTATCATGTGACTGATGTCATGTGACTTCCTGTCAGATACAGTACTAGTACACTTAGTAGCTGCCTACTGGTTAAAGGTGGTTCTGAAGTCTGGAAGGGTTGAAGATTGCTGGATTAGGGTACCATTCAGAAGAGGGAGGATAAGTTGCTTCCTCCCCGCCTCTCCCCACCCCTGGCTGCCTGGGGCCAGGGAGGGCCTTGGCAGGGCTTCCTCACACTTCCACCGGCCTTGCAGGTCCACCGCCGGGCCCCTGATGTCAGGGGGTGTGGCATATGCTAATGAGTTTCCCTAGCTCTTTTTCTACGAAATGACCCCTGGTTACAATGCTTGTGGCGCCCTTTTTCTTACCAGTGAGATTCTAACTCAGCCTCCTCCTCTTATCATGTGACTGATGTCATGTGACTTCCTGTCAGATACAGTACTAGTACACTTAGTAGCTGCCTACTGGTTAAAGGTGGTTCTGAAGTCTGGAAGGGTTGAAGATTGCTGGATTAGGGTACCATTCCTTGGCAGACAGTTCTTCAGTCGCCCATTTTCCTTTCTTGATAATGATTTTTTTTCTAGTAGCAGTAAACACATGCAGAAATAGTAAGTTAAGAAACTATAAAGATATCTGCTAGATTCAATTGTTAGACCTGGCTAGTAATTAGTTAATAAAGTAATAGAATGATTGACCAGGAAGTACTGACTTATTAACAGTAGAGGCCCATAAGAAACAGGCTTGGTCAGTTGAAGCAATCAGCAAGGAGTGCCCAGTGTAGTACTACATCTTGCTTAGTGTTTTTAGACCAAAACATCTGTAGTTCCTCTGTAACCAGCAGGACACACTTTACAACTGGGTAGGTAAGGTCAGGAACAGTTTGGCTTAATTTTTTGTTCTGGCAGGCTGGGGGCTGGTAAACAAAATCATCCTCTCTGGAAAGAATACTTTCAAGTATTACCAATATATCTATTTCTCAGTGTGGCCAAATCTATGGATACTTAAAGCCAGAGACTGAAGCCCTGAACAAAGAAGACAGGTCTTTCTACAGACCTGAAAAATGCCCCAGGTTTGCAGAAAAATATGAAATTAAAAAACAAACACCACATCAGGGAGTAAAACCCTTCACAATAACAGAAGCGGTACCTGTAGCTAAATGAAATGAATGCTCTCAGTGGCTGTTGCAAAGTAACCATGACAGTATTGTCAGCCTTTCAGCCTTTGTTTCTGACAGTAAAGGGCAGGGGGAGGGGGCAGGACCCTTTCCAGGGCTGTTTTGCTTTAAGAGAGGACTCACCAGAGCAAGGATCAGCAGCAACCACCAGGTGACTTGCTTCCACCTGACCTCTGTGAGTCACTCAGGCCTGGCTGCTTGTTACTGTTAGCAGCAGTCACACACACACACACACCCGGCAAAAAAACAGTGTGGTGTACTGGGTAGAGTTTCAGACCAGGATCTGGATGAACCAAGTTCCCATCACCGCTCTGCTGAGGAAGCTCACTGGATGACTTTGGGCGAGTTATCCTAACCTACCTCACAGGATTGTTGTGAGGATAAAATGGAGGAGATGAGAATTACGTAATCTATTTGGGGTCCCCATTGTGGAGAAATGCAAGGTATAAGTGAAGTAAATACGTAATAAGTATAGCTGAAGATGGGGGGCTATATAAAAGTTAAGTAGGTTGGGGGTGAGCAGAAGAGAAGGAAGCAGGGAAAAGTAAGGATATGTGGAGGAGGGAAAGA